CGAGCCCACATTTTCACAATGTTCATTCAGATATACACACATGTATAAACAGCACAAGTGCCCACATCACATATCTCAGCAATTTTCTACCCTCTACTCAACCACATCACAATATCTCACAAAATATCAGCAAATCACACATAAAGGAGTAGGGTAGAGTCCCCCCTTACCTCGGATTGATGTCCCACACGCTAAATCCACCAAGAAGTATTTCTCCTCACGGATTTCGTCCTAAACACATGGAGAAACTCTTTGAGAATCCAGGGAAACCACGAAAATAGAGAAAGGGGATGTAAAACCGAAACCCTAACCATTAAAACTCATCTCTAAGTGTTTCCCACACGGATTCAACCTTCAATCAAGCTCCTGAACGACTTTGGAGGCAATTTAATCGGTGGAAAGGGCTTTGGGAATGAGAGGATCGAAAGAAGAGGGAGAAATAACTCTCCCCGAACCCTAACCCCCTTTAAATCCTTTTATGGTCGCGACACTCTCGCTACAGCGATATGCCCTCTCGCTACAGTGAAAAAATCAGAGAAAACTGCACTCTGATTTCTGCAGAATCTCACTACAACGAGACCCTCTTGCTATAGCGAGACTGCACTCAAAAATGCACCCCAAACTATCGTTCTCTCGCTACAACGAGAAAGTAATAGTTTCAGTCCTTCTTCTCAGGGTCTTATCTCACTCTGCATTTAGGCACTTAGCCCATTTCAGCCCAACTAGTCATGCATACACACACACACACATATATATATATATACATATACATATTCACAACATATATCTGAAAATACACACATGAATATACATTTAAATTTATATAATTATTAATAAATAATATTACCAAAATTTAGGGCGTTAGACATGAGTTGCTTAAGTTAGTTGTTTTTATGGGTCCACAATTTGCAAATAAAATCTCTATTTGCTTCCTCTTGGTCTTATATTCTCTTCATAAATTGTAGGTGTGACCAAATTAATGATAAAAGATCTGTATCTCCTTTCTTTATTTTTGTTTTATTTTTATGAATTTGAGTGCATGTTTACTGATTCAGAAATTTCATCATACTAAAATTATTTTGAAATCTATCAAGAGAAAAAAAATTTGGTATTTTTATAAAAAAAAAATAGAACAAAAATTATGAACTTGCGAATTGTGAATGATATCCTAAATTTTTATAGAGAAAAAATATAGGTATCATAGGAACTTTTAGAGCTATTACGCAATTAAAATTTGAATTTCATCCGAGTAATCCATGTAATAAAAGTATGCATGAAATGTATCCAAGAGAACATGTTAAGAAACATCAAATATACTTTATTGAATAATTTAAATTACTATTAAAAAATATGAATTGAATACTTTTGATAATTTTGAGATAATGAGTATTCTTATTTTTAATAAAAAAAATTATTTTAATTTCTTTACATGCCTCCTGAAGTACACTTTAGAAAAATCGTTGATAAAAAAATAACATAAAACACATGTAATGTACTACTACGCTTAAGTTTTGTCCTTGTATTGTCATTCTTAAATTTTTATTGTTTGCCATAAATTTTGGGGAGAGAAAAAATGAGTTATAGATTGAATGGCAAGCGAGCAGTTAATGAGGTACGTGAACTAGCATTATTTAAATAAGCAGTTATGATGAGGCTGACAATAATAACTGAGGTAGTTGTTTGTAGCTTTTTGGGGTGTCTCTTCCATTTATAGCTGCGATGAACGTTGGACGCATAAATGTAGTGCTAACAACTGCATTATGTTGTCTTACCTACAACCGCAACTCCAACTCCTCCTCCTTTGCCTTTTCTTTTCATCATTTTGGCTTCAGCGTTGTAGTAATTTCGGCTTGTACTATGGCCACCCTCAAGTGTCTTCAGCTGTGCGCTTGTGTTGCATTGATGGTGGTGGCTTTGTTGTTAATCCCAGTTGAATCAACACTTTTGGTTTATTTCAAGCGCGTTCCTCCACCTTGGTCTAGCTCTTCTAACGCTGTTTTCCAGTATCTAGTTGAGAGGTTGGATGGTTCCAGTGCATGCAGTAGAAATACTTGTTCATTTTCATGTGAGGTATGCAATTTCTCTTTACCATTTATAAGGTCGTGTATAGGTCACAGTTTATCTATGGACACGAGTCTTAATAACAGAACATTATGGGGTGGTTCGATTCCTGTAGCTGACCCCGTTTGATGGAAAAAGGTTTGGTTATTGTTGTGGTAGTCAAACAATTTGCAATGTGTGTGCATTTGGTGTGTACAGACGATCTCTTTGAAAATGTTATTCCCTCATTGTTGTTGAAAGTGTTCATCCAAGTTATTGATGATCAAGGTATTTCGCTTGACAGCTTGATGGCAAAGCTTACCCTTGCCAAGCTAATGGCATTTTGTTAAAGAACTTAACTCTAAACCAGGAGCATAGTTTGCTTCTCAATGTCAGTACAAACAAAGCAGAAAGAAATTCGTCACTTTACTCATGGTTCATTGGTGAGCATTCATTTATTTATATTATTTCCTTCTCACCCCATTTAAGCCTGATTCGCTGGTCACAATGCTAATCTTCAGTAAAGCATTCCGGAGCCTTGCTAATGATTTCCTCTTCACTCAATAGATGCAATACCCCCAACTGCAGTCATTACTAGTCAACAGACGCATACAAATGGACAAAAGATACCAATTGATATCACATTCAGTGAACCATGCACAGGACTGGGAGGATTTGATTGGCTAAACTCATCAAACTGTGATGTAAGTTGATTTCTAATGACGAGCATTGTGTTAAAAATATCTATAATTTGTAGTTTTCTTTGAAAATGTTGACAACATTTTGACTATGTTTTAACTTCTAAGATTATGGTAGCTGGTCCTGCCCTCGTGGATGCATCCTCTTTACAAATTATTAGACCAGGCGTCAAATATAGCCTTGATGTAATTATCTCCTCAAAAATTACATATGGGCGTGTTGTAATCACAATGGCTGCCAATAGTTGCGCTGACCAGGCTGGAAACCAGTTCATAAGGACCAATGGTTCTACTTTGACTATTCACTTTGGTGAGGTTCTAGTTGCACGGTTCAACTGTTGACTTATAACCAAAGCCAATTGTTAACCAGTGTCTCCAAACACTGGTTAAAGAATCAAAAGTAAAAAGATTTTGTCAAAAAATATAATTAATAAACTTCATTTATGATTTTCAATGCAGTCTAACACTTTTTTTAAGAAAAGCTTGTCAGCATCACTTTCCATTCCTTAACCAGTGCCCCAAGGGCACTCGTTAGCAAAATCCTTCAACAAAAAATTATTTTTATGGCACTTATATATATTTAAATATGGTTGTCTTAGATAGAAGGCCGGTAATGGTGGACTTTTGGACATCTGTTCCATCTTATGAGTTGAAAATTAAAGGTATCCCAAGAACAGTCATTGCAACAGGCAAACAAGAAGACCTTATAATTTTCTTGGATTTTAGCATTCCTATAAGAAACTCAACTGAGCAAGTTCTAAATGCACTACATGCTAACTCTGGTGTCTTGACTCCTCTCCATGGTAGAAGCAATGAGACCCGCAGATTTGGTTTTAAAGTAAGAAAGAAATTGTTTTAGTATGATATACTTCCTATTTTCTTACCATGAATATTAGTAGAAGTCATATACTGAAAAAATTAGAATATGAACTGATACTAACAATTATATATTTATATCCCTAACTACTAATGGGCTTCATTTTGTAGCTCAAGAGCATACCCACAACTGAGATTATCACAATTGAATTACAAGCTACAGCAATACTTGGATGGACCGGCACTCCTGTCTCTCCTGTTGCTCCTATCACATTCCTTTATGGTATTGCATCATCTGTGCTTAATGCTTATGATATTAATATTCATTTTCTTGGTAGCTTTAACTTCAAACCAATTACCTTATTTTACATAGACACGATGAATCCCAGTGTGGTACTAAGGACCAGCTCCCTCGGTGTAACAAGGGATTTCAACATCAACATAATTGCTGAGTTCACAAAGCCAGTATTTGGCTTTGGGGCCTCTACGGTAGAAGTCTCGGGAGGAAGATTGATAAGGCAGGTGTAGTAAACTAACAGCAAGCATATATTCATATTAATATTATTTTACACAATGGCTCAACGCATAAAGTTGAGAGTATTTAATATTATATTTCATCAAGGGTTTGAATGATGTTGAAATTTCTCCTTTTCTTCCATGTAGGTTTAAGGAGCTATCAAGAGCTTTATATTCATTGACTGTCCAAGCAATGACAAAGAAGGTGGTGTCAGTTACCATTCCTGCAGGGAAGGTAACTGATATTTCAGGAAATGAAAATTTGGCATCTAACCAGCTTGATATCAAGCATTGTATGAATATCTCTTTTTCCTTCCATATGATTCTTATAATGATGATTATTATATTACACTTCCTTTAGTAGCTTTCAAAATTAAATGCTCTATTTCAATATCAACAGAATTCAAGGTTGAGCACTATGCACTTACATATGGATAACACCTTTGTTTAAAAAAACTGGACCATACCAGACAGTTCAACTAGAAAACCTGTGAACCTGATGGTGTCTAGTCCATTTCAAAACTGATGTTGAAACTGGTTTTTAAAACATAAACTCACATAATAAAGTAATATGTCATGCATTAGAGTATCATGATTTTTATTTTTCTGGTACTCACCTAAATTATTTGCAGAAATACATTTTAGTAGTTTGTATCTAATACACATCTCAGCAGGTCTAGAATTAATCAGCTTTTCGCCGTCTTTTCCTACTTTCACACTAACCAAATTTAGGCATAAAAAATATGCCAATCTAATCGGAATGCAGAAATAAGTGAAAAGCCATAACTTTATTACAGTGACAGTGCATGAACCATATAATGTTCTCTATGTTTGACTCACTCTAATATCATATGTTCAGATTCCACCCCTGCAATATCCATTGCACTGTACACATTTGTGAGTGCCGGAACGGTAGCAACATCACTAATAACTGCTATGGTTTCACTCTCCTCCGCAAATTTAGAAGCAATAAGCATGCTTGCTTTGGGAGGCACAAACTGTCCTGCTTCCAACCCATCAATGAATCTACATGTAAGCAAAGAAACTTATGTATGGTATTACAACTAGAATACAAACACTTTTCAATTGTCAGAGTTCTTCTAATGTATACATCATCTCTATTTAAGGGTTACCTTACAAACATTGACACTTTTACAGGGAATGGTTGGACACCTACAAGTCTTTGCCCTTTCAAGTTGGTTTTCAACTAATCAATTTATCAAATACTCTGAGACAACAAGAGGTCTAATGTGGCTCATACCTCGTCACAAACTTCCTTGGGTAGATTTTGACTCTTCATCTTCAATCTTGGACAAAGAGAAACATCCAGAAAGAAGTAATGACTTGTCTGCAAGAGAGCATTCTAATAACAGAGATCAACGACAAACTGATTTAATGAATTTGTCTTATATTGAACACAAACTACCATTTCCAACTGAAATAACCACCAAATCTGGTCGGCTTTATAATCAGCACAATGTAAGCAAGACAAGTACATTGTATGGTCTACCTCTCAATTCAATAGAATATTTCACTTACTTCTTGGTGAGTTTAATATCAACTTTAAAAGCACTACAATACTACATGAATGGCCACTTGTTTGCAACTGATTCGTTTCCCTTGTAGAGAGGAGAACCAATATTTGCTGGCAATGTCATCAAAGGAATGGAGAATCACAAAGGGTAGTTAGCCTTACAATTAACCTTTATGTTTAAACATCAGACTCTAGGCAGTCACTCACACGTCACACCTAACATGGTCGCATAAACAAGACTTCCAGTTTGACCAAACAAAACAAAACAAGACTTCCAATTTATTATGTTCATTATTGACAGGAAAAAGGAGTTTCTGAATTTGCAAGATTAATTAAGAAAATTTGAGATTTGTTTTTCTAATCAACAGGTGGCAGGACATGGAGATGAACTTATTCTGGCTGGGTGCGGTAGGAGGCTGTTTAATTTTAGTTCATGTTTTCATGATATTCATCCTAAGAAAGAGGACAGGGGGACCACCTCAAGGCAGTTTATCAGTTCCTAGGTTTGAGCTCTTTCTTCTGATTCTCATGCTACCTTGTCTTTCTCAGTCATCAACATTTGTAATAAAAGGTAAGTGACTAAACTTGACAGTGTCCAATTTCAGTCATCTGTATTTACCGGATTCCAAAACCAATTATTTAAAGATTAAATTCATGTATTTCATCCTTTATGACTACATTTATATGCAGGTGGAACAACAGGGGGAATCATTACTGGGGTGTTGTTACAGGCAATCCCTGCAGCATTCATCTTGTCAGTATTGCTCTTTCTGGTTATTGCAATCTATTCTGGAAGTTTTGCCCAGTACAAAGAATTCAAACAAGTAACTGATGAAGAAGAATGGTATATTAAGCTATGGTTCTTTTCTGTTGGGAGGCCTACAACCGGAAAGTGGTTTAACAGGAAAAGGCTACCTTCCTCTTTCCTCTCACGCTTTGGAATTCTCTTTGATAATTGGAAGGGTCCTCCAGTGCTAGTTTTAAGTGATCAAAATGAACTGAACACCATAACCAAGTGGACTGAAAGTGGCCAAAGTGGGATTGGGAGAATGAAGACAGTCAATTCAGAGGACAGCAATGAAGAAAACAAAATTTCCACATTCAAGCATGCTTTAGGCTGCATGAGAGCATCCTATATCATCCTTGACTTATTAAGAAGAGTTGGTTTGGGAATAATATCAGTAGCTTACCCGTCAGAAAAATTAAGTAAAAGCCTCTTTGCATTGATAATTACATCAATACAGTTCATTTATCTATTTACCACCAAACCATACATCAGCAGAGGTGTTCAGGTAGTGGAAAGTATTTCTCTCTTGAGTGAGGTAGGCATGTTTGGTATCTTAATCCTTCATAGTGGGTCAAACTCAGTTGAAGCTAAAACATGGGATTTGGTTATGTTGTTTCTTCTACTATTTACCTTCATTGTTCAGCTTATCAACCAATGGTATGCTATGGTATATTCCCTATTAAAACTCTCACAGCCTCAGAACTATTCCTTAAGGCATGGAATAAAGTTTGCAGCCAAGGGACTTATCTTGCCGTTCCTTCCAAGCAAGCATTGGTCTAGTGTGATATCCACTTTCTCCCAGCCAGAAACAGACCTTTCAGTCAATCCTACATCTTCAGGAGCAGAATTTGAAAGAAGAAATAGAAACGGATACATGGATCCAATCAGCGCCATGACTGCCACTGTAGTCCCTGTGCAAAGTCCAGGTACTCCCAGCCCCAATGTTATTGAAAGAAGAGATCCTACAACTTCAGAGACAGCTGCAAGCACGCATATTGAAGTGGAAGGTAAATGGCTAAAGGGGCACAAGTCTGGGCTAAATAATGAGCTGAAGATGTTAAGGGAGCTTGCAAAAGCTAGTTTCACTGGGGATACCACCAGGGTTGATGAAGCCAGTACTAGCTACACTTTAGGTAAACAACCTTTATCAGGTGAAACCTATTTTGGTAATCCAAAGCGAAGATACTGATGCATATGGGGCACACAAGCACATTATCATATCCTATTTGAGAAGATTTTGGGAAATACACATTACTTCAGATTGCTTTGTTTGTTCCACAAACATTTGTATAGTTTCTTCTGTAGCTTTTGTGACCTCAACTTGCTTATGATTCTACATTTTCAGACATTCTATGACTATGACCTATCAAGCTTGCCGAAGACTCGGTGGATTCTTTCCGATTTACACGGAACTGAACTAGAGTTTTTTTTGTTTGTTTCCTTAAGCAAATCTAAAAAGCGGAAAAATAATTTTTACTTAAGTCTCTAAATTTGGCTTAAGTGAAACTCTCTATTCCCTTCATATTTTCTTTTTATCTTCTTTGACTCTTCTGATAGTACCACCGCAACTTCGCTAGTAAATTTCAAATTTTTTTATTTAAACGAAAATTCACTTAAGGTAAATGTCTAGTTTTTGTGTAATTTAAAAATAAAATAAAATAAACGTCTAACTTTGAACTTTCACATAAACTGAAAAAAAAAAGCTACCTGACATTATTTTATAATATAAGCACTTCATCATCTTCTCAAACAAATATATTAAGTTTTATATTTCTGAAGATATATAATTTCAAAAATAAATTTTGGAAGTATAATTAACAAATTTTCAAATTCCAAAATTTATTTCAAACGAAGAATAAAAGGATTTGACCTAAACCTATAAAAATTACAGATATTTCTGAAAAAAAATTAAAAAGTTACAAAAAGTAAAAGATGGTGAAAAAGCAACTCCCAATTTCTTTTTCATTTATTTTGCACCTAAATACTTGACTTTTTTTCATAAATAAATTAAAAATATTAGTTATTTCTTAAATATTTTGAAAAAAAAAATTACATAAATATTCTAAAAGTCACATATAATAAAAGTTGATCCTAATCGACTTTTGTAAAAATTTAAAAATTTATTACATGGAATTCAATTTAAATTAACTTTTATTTTGATTTTAAAAAAAAATTATACAAAAGTTGCTTTTAAAAACTTTGTATTTAGAAGTTGATATTTTCATTCCGTTTTTGAATTTTTTTATATAAAAGTCGATTTAAATTGATTTTTATTTTGATTTTAAAATTTGTTTATATAAAAGTAAACTTAAATCGATTTTAATTCTACTTTTAAATAAATATGTATGGTAAACTTTTAATTTAATTTATGTAATAGTTTTAATTATTAAAGCACGATGGTTTAAGACTTTTAATTTTATGTTTTTTTTTATTGATTTTGGTCTTTTAATTATTAAAGTATGGTAGTGTAAAATGTTTAATTTTAATTGACTTTAAATTTTATGTTCTTTGAAATATAAATGTATTAAAAGATGGTAAATAATAAAGTGATAAATAATAAAGTTTCTTTAAAAAAAATAGTTATATAAATTTAACAATATTACTTGTAATATAAAAAGAAATAAGGTGATAAACAACATACATATTACAATAAATTAAATTTAATAATATTACTTATACTATCTAATACAGTTAATCAATTATATAGGTTAGAAGATGAAGCAGTTAGACATGTCTATTTGGTGTGACTATCCTCTACACAATCCACATCATTTTTCTTTAGATTAATCTTATCCATTTCATTATGAAATCTCATAAAATTTAATTATTTTTTTTGTACTATTATTTATGTGTAAAAACTTTAAAAAAATAGAATAAAAGTAAAAAAATTTCAAAACACAAAAAAGTTAATTTAAATTAATTTTTTATAATAAATTTTTAAAACTTTATCATAAGTGGATTAGAATCAATTTCTATTATATAGACTTTAAAGACATTTGTGTAAATTTTTTTTAAGATATTTAAAAAATAATTAATATTTTTTATTTATTTATGAAAAAAAAAAACCACGATACTCTTTCTGTTTTTAATCGAGCCCAATATCTTTACGGGGCTTTACGGTTTTGCATTTAACACAACACCCGTTGTTTCCATGGGAAATGTATAAAAGTTTTCAAAATCCATAAAAGAAAACAAAAAAAAAAAAGGTGGTCATTTACCGCTCAGAGAAGCTAAGTACTCTCATTCATATACCGAATTGCTAAACGCTCTGCTTACTTCGTGCCACTATCGAGCAAACGATCAAATCGAGATTGCCGCGACAAACGTCGGAACCGCCGGGCACGCCGTTCAGCAAGCGAAGGCGAGGGGAGACGGTTACTCAGTTACTCTGATCACAGACCCGTCAGCAAAATCGTCTCATCTAGAAGGCAAATCAAATCGCGCCACGTAATCAACTAGAACCAGCTACGAAAACAAAATTTTGTCTAAGGACAAAATCGTAGACATATAAAAAAAATTAAATAAAAGACTTTCTCATAATTTTGAAAAATAAAAAAATAAGTTATTTTAAGTTAAAAATGTTTTAATTATTTTTATATTAATTATTTATTCTGTTTTCAGAAGATTTACCCAAATAAAACGTATATATAATGATGAAAGTGTAACATATTATTACTAAAAATATAAATTACAATATATTATAATTAATTTTTTTACAAGTTTTAACAATTGTGATAGAAAGTATTAAAATTAATTCTAAAACAAATAAATCAATGAATATGATTCGTGTATTGAAATGATAACGTATAAATAATAATAATAATATATTTAAAATTAATTTTAAATATTAAAAATATATTTTTATTGTTAATCATGTCTAACATAGGTAGGGTAATTAGTTTCCTTCTATCTTAATAAGACAGCGTGAGAACTTAAAGTATGTTCAAATGCAGCTTATAAAGTATATGCAGAGAAATTATTTGACCTAAAAAGTTGCTACTCATGTTCTTAACTCACTACTTTACATGTGTAGCATGTTGAGTTGCTTAGTTAGCAACTTTTTGCCGCCAAGTAAGCTAACTTTCCTCATCAACAAATGGTATTGCTTTGAGTATATTAGCTGAGCATATGATGTGCATGTCTAATATGCTATCCCAAATGTTATTCTAGCAAAATATAGCTAGAAACTCACACTTCAATTAACTTTTGAGTAGTTTGTAGATCCAATAGTTGGGATTTCAAGTTGGGTTCATGTTAACTCCTCATGTTTCTAATTTATTCAAGTTTTTGGAGTTAGTGAAAAATGTTTTGTATGAAGCTTCATATAAGGGACGATTGCCATTCTGTTCTTTGAGTTTGAACTTAGCACTCATCTTTAAGGAATGACTAGCACCCATATTTTTACTTCCTCAATGATCAACATATCCTGTTTGGAATGATATTAAAGTCTTTGAAGTGTCACATTAGCTAATCATTAAGAATTAGTTTTAGTTGATTTCTTTATCTCATTTAACGAACTCAGCTAGTAACCAAATTAGTTATTCTGCCTTAGTTGGTACCTAATTTTAGCTATTTTATTGTAGGCTATCATTAGTCAAACTTATTCAACTGATGATCTTTGACTAATAGTAAAATTTTGATGTTAACAAAAATAAATTTAATTTATAATTCACTAGTTCAACTAGTATTCTATTAACTTAGTATTTACATAAAGTCAACGATTGGTTCGAGTTTTATAATATTGACTTTGATACAAATTTAATAAAAAATGTCATTAAATGATTTGTAACGGTGTGAAATGTGTATCCATATAAGAACAAAGATTTTGGTTATGTTTATTAATTGTTAATGCTTTCTATTGGGTTTTTTTTTTTATTTGAGTATGTTTCCAAACAAATTTTTAGAGAAAGAAATAGGAAAGCAAAGGTTAAGGGAATGGGTTGTTGTTGGTTTATTCTAATGTTTTGCTCTTGATGTGCTTATATATTGTGTTAGGGTTAGTAAACGAGTCAAAGAACATTAATTGTTGGTGTATTTAGGTAACTTTTAATTGACATGTGACTTGTAAGTTGCTTTTATGTTAATTAGGACAATGCAATTTCTATCTTAGTATAATGCAAAACTAGAGACAATGATTACTTTGTTAGAGGCAAATATGATGTGTCACTTTCACTTTGTGAAAAGTATATACTAACTACCCTAAGTCAAACTTAATCTCAGATGTTCAAATCTTAAATATCCTTTAAATGTTATGTGAGATAACCTTTTATAAATTGCCTTATGAATATTTTTCACTCAAAATTATCAAGTTACTTGTTGCATTAGATTTCTTACACTTAAATACTTGATCATTAGCCTTAAATATCATTCTTATGGGCTTGATATTTTTTAAATAATTGTCATTAAACTTAATTTGAAACATAAAACATAATTAAGAACTAAATAAATTAAAATAAATCACATTTTTTGAATTAATCTTCTCAAAATTTGCTATTTATAATAAGTTTAACATATAATTTGATACGATTGTAAACAATATAAATATTATATTTTTTTTAAAAAATTAACTTAAATATATTTTTAGTTCTTATGTTTTAGTAAATTTTTTATTTTAATTTATACTTTTTTGTAAATTATTTTTTTAGTCCTCTAATTAACATGATTTAACTAAAAATTAAAATTTGATAATATTTCAATGGACTAGATCAATAATAAGAATTAAAAATAAAAAATTATAAAAATATAGAAACCAAAACAAAAAAAAGTTGTTTGAAGGAAATAAAACAAAAAAATAAAAAATAAAAAAAATGTGAGAAAAAACATGTTTAAGCCAAAGAATTTTATGCAAAAAGTTTATGATATATGGTTTATTAATATATGTTAAATACCAATAAAAATTAACTGTATACAGTTATTTTAATTTATTTTTTAAAATGATTATTGTTTTGATTAATATTTTTAAAAAAATTCTCTAAAATAGATTAACAAATATGAATTAATGTATTATTTCTTTTTTCAGATTATGTTTTATGCGTTGATTTACATTATATGGTCAGGCTATGCATTTTCTCTAATTTGGAAATGGTTAAAGGACGAAATATTCTTTCTTAAATTGTTTTGGGACTTGCTCAGGTATAATTATATAATTTTTAAAATTTTACTATGTTACGACTGCAGTTTTTATATTATAATACAATCGATTACATGATATTGCAATAATAATAACGCTAGAAAATGGAAAAATAAAATTACGAATACAGGATGACTTTTGTTTTTATATGGGAAAAATAAAAAAAATTACAAAAATATAGTGTTTTGAAAAAATTTAAAAAAATATGAAAAATTTTCAAAATGTTTTTCTGCATTTCAAAATTTTATTAATTTTTAAAAAATTATCATTAATAATTATTTATTTTAAAAAATTGCCATTAATAAATTTTGACTTTTTTATATTTTAATATTTTAAAAAATATTACCTTTTTAAAATTTTATAATTTTTTATTGTTCTATCAGCATTTACATAAAAAATAATTGTTGACTCATAATGTTTTTTAAAAATACTATATGTTGCATCATATTTGAAAATATTTATTTATTTACGCTGAGACTGGAGAGGGGCGGTGTATAGGTGAGTTGCACAAACCATTGTGCGGGCACATGGTATGGCTTTTGGCGATCACGCACAACACAACGCCAAACAACACGTGACGTACTAATGGATAAGATAGGATGGAAGCGTAACGTGCCTTTCCATCGCACCCCTCTCTCACACCCAAACACCGTACCTTCTTTTCAATTTTAAAGCTTCAATTCCCGCCAACTCAAATTTCCCACCAAAACAAACTCACAATCGAAACCCCAAATTCCACATCTACCCCCTCTATTTCGTCCATCTATAAGGCCATATCCGTAAAAGCCGTGATCCTTCCAACGAAATCCCCAAACTACCCTCTTCAGCTTCAGTCTTCTCCCGCAAGCTTTCCGAAAAATTTTCAAATTCCCCGCTCCTCTCATTTTCAATCTTGATTCCCAATCCCTCTATTTAAAACCCTCAGCCTTCGCCTCAAAACACAAACTCTCTAAACCCCAAAAACCAAAGCCTTAACCTCCAATATCTCCGGTTACGAAACAACAATGCCTGCCATTCCCGAAGAACCCTTACTCGCTCCAAACCCAGATCGCTTCTGCATGTTCCCAATTCAATACCCTCAGATATGGGAAATGTACAAGAAAGCCGAAGCCTCCTTCTGGACTGCAGAAGAAGTTGACCTCTCCCAAGACCTCCGTCACTGGGACTCCCTCACCGACGGCGAACGCCACTTCATCACCCACGTCCTGGCCTTCTTCGCGGCCTCAGATGGCATCGTTTTGGAAAACCTCGCCGGACGCTTCATGAAAGAAATCCAAGTCTCCGAGGCACGCGCCTTCTACGGCTTCCAAATCGCCATCGAAAACATTCACTCCGAAATGTATAGCCTCCTCCTCGAAACCTACATAAAAAACTCCGAAGAGAAAAACCGCTTGTTCCACGCCATTGACACCGTTCCTTGCGTCAAGAAGAAAGCCGAGTGGGCCCTACGCTGGATCGACGCCTCCGATTCCTTCGCCGAACGACTCGTCGCATTCGCGTGCGTCGAAGGGATATTCTTCTCTGGAAGCTTCTGCGCCATTTTTTGGCTCAAGAAGCGCGGGTTAATGCCTGGTCTAACCTTTTCGAACGAGCTTATTTCACGCGACGAGGGGCTTCATTGTGATTTCGCGTGCTTGCTGTATTCTTTGATGAGGAAGAAGCTGAGTGAGGAGCGCGTGAGGGAGATCGTGCGTGATGCGGTGGAGATAGAGAGGGAGTTTGTGTGCGACGCGCTTCCCTGTGCGTTGGTGGGAATGAATGGGGATTTGATGAGTCAGTATATTGAGTTTGTGGCGGATAGGTTGTTGGATGCACTTGGGTGTGGGAAGGTGTATAATGTGCAGAACCCGTTTGATTGGATGGAGCTGATTTCGCTGCAGGGCAAAACTAACTTTTTTGAGAAGCGCGTTGGGGAGTATCAGAAGGCTTCCGTTATGTCGAGTTTAAACGGCAATGGTGGGGCCCACGTGTTCAAGATGGATGAAGACTTCTAATTTATGATAATCACTTCTAGAACCCTTTGCTAATAATATTGTGTACTTGTTACTGTTGTTAAATAGGTTCAGGTGTTTTTACTTTTTAGCGTTAGTATTTTTTTTAATTTAATATTTTGTTCTTTTGTTTGTTTAGTTTCTTGTTGAGAAATGATAAAGTATACTTTCTGTTTACGAAGATTCTTTTTCTTTTTTATTATTATTTGTTCTATAGAGTAAATTTAGGTTTTCGTTTATTGACAACAAGGGCATTAACTCAGGAAGGACAGTTTAAATGGGGTAATATTTTTAATTGAACTGGAGCAATTAAAGAATAATAATTTTCTCTAACCTTGTATCTATTTTTCACGGTAATTTATTTATTTATTTTTGCAAGACTGAGTAAAATGTGAAAAGGTCTCTGCCTAGTATTATTAAGCAAAAAATAAAGTGAACTTGGTGAGCGTTTCAGCTAAGTCACACAGTGTGGCTTATTTTTCCGACGAGAGTGGAGTCTCTTTGTCGTAGTGTAGGTTGTGAGCTTCGTCAATGGCAACTGGGTCGCAGAGCACTGGAATGCTGAGTAGAGAACAGCTTTGTTATCTTTTCGATCATTTTACTTTCCTTACTTCCGAACCTGGTACCTTTTATTTTGGTTTCCCAGATTTGTTGTTTGGCTTTTTGATTGATTGATTGATACCTTAAGCCCGTTTTATTTCTTTGTACTATGGTAATCTTTGTTATCTACAGATGTGAAGAAAAGAATTGCAGAAGCCGTACGGGATAAGCAGGTGGATTCTTTGTTGTCTTTCATCCCTTTTTCGCTTAATTTTTTATTTTGGGTCTTAAAATTCTGTTGAAGCTGTGTATAGCTTATTTCGATGTAAGTTGACTTTGCTATTTATGGTATTACGTATTCAGTTTTCGGAAACGTTATTGATTTCAGGAATTATTAATCGGCTAGTGAATGAAAGACAATTGGACAAAATTAGATGGATTTCCTTATGTACTTATAATATTGTTCTTTTTTAATTAAAATTGGGGTTTTATTGCTTGTTATGGACGTGAAATTCTAATTGTGGTGTAAAAACACTAAGTTTTGAACTTATCTCCCATAAATTGTGTACGTACCTAATAATTCGACTTTGTTTCCTTGTGAGCCACTTCAGTAGTTCATTCTTCCATTGATTTGAAGAATTCGTCAATGAGTGACAGCTGAGCTTAATAACTAGAACCTTTGTCTATGCTTCTTGATCTAATTTTCCAGTTTGATGATTAGTCATCACAAGAGGGCGAGTCTTGGTGCAACGATAAGGTTGCAACCTTTGTGAACTCCAGGTCACTAGTTTAAAATTTGGAAATAGCCTTTTGTGACATCTACCCACTCCTCTAGATGGAAGTCTGGTACATTGTGTTGGCAGCGTTGTCCTTTTTTAAATTAGTCATCACAAACCCAATAGCTTTGTGGTAATGGTTTCATCCTTTTGATTAGCATGTGTGTGTATTGGGCTTTGATTTTATGGAGAGACATATTTTAATGTTGGATATATAAAATTAAAGTGCAAGTCGACGAACATTATTCTTTTTCCACTTTATGTGATAATAGTCGGTAAATAATGCATTTTATTGTCATTTCCTGAAATTCAACACTGATGAGCAGGAAGCTGTTGCTGTGACTACTGCAATACAGGAAGAGATACTCTTGGAGATGGGTGTTGGTATGTTTATTGTATGGTGGCATATAGTTGTTTGTGCTTTGAAGCACTGGTGCCTCATTTTTCATGTCATATATCTGTGCCATCATGACCCAGCTCTGCTGCTGGCTGGAGCCATTGATGCCATCATTGGATATATAATTCCTGCTTGTCTCACGTTGCATCCCTGATTGAAAATCACCTTTTTAGCATTAAAAGAGAATCAAATACATATAAATAATGGATCAAAATCAAAAATCACCTTTTTAGCATTAAAAGAGAATCAAATACATATAAATAATGGATCAAAATCAAATCATCTATTTGATATGTTATGCTTCCTAGTCTTGGTCCTTGAGATGAAAATGAGTTTGACACTAGATACATGATGGGTGATACTATTACGTTAACATGCTAGACATGCCCGTACAAAAATAATTATAAATTCTTTTTTGCCAGAAATAATACTGGGAGTATGGCTTGGATGGAATTTAAGGTTGTATATTGTTATTCCTTGGCCTTTGATTCTTTTCTTTGTGCGAATTCTGTGTTTTCTTCTCCCAAATATTCTTAGAATACTGCAGTTTTCATATTTGATAGAAATGACATCTTTTTAAACTTTTCTTTTATTGTAGACATTTCTTTTCTTGCCATTTTAATTTAGGATAGCATTTTGGTAAATGGAAGGATTGTTTGCAGAATCTGTTTTGTCTTATAACCTAACTTTATACTATTTTATTCTGAAACTTATTGAAAGAAAGAAGTAATACCTGTAACTGAAACAACAGGTGGTGATTTATGCTATTTTATCAATTTCTTGAGGATCTCTTCTGTTTGATATAACCGTTATAGAAATTTTGTTTTTGTTATTATTATTATTATTATTATTCATATAACAGACCCAAGATTTGGTATATCCTGCCTGGGAAAAGTCAGTACTGTATATGACAATGACCGGGATTTGGTGATTCAGTTTTATAAATTCCTTTCAAAGTAAGTGTTCTCTGTCTTTTATATGTAACTAACTCACTTCTACCCTGTTAATATTTTCTCTTCAATTCTTTGAACAAGTGATTTAGAAAGTGTCCATTTCATGCCCATGTCTTCTCTAGCTTTGAGTTATAATGACTTTTCAAGAGCTAAATGATACCCATCCATTAAGGTGTATGTAAGGAGTATGTTACTGAGAGGCAGGAAGCAGCTCTCCAAGTTAGCTTGGTTGTCAAGGGGAATAATTACTAGGAAACATGGATCTCATAAGTGAGAGTGAGAGAGAGCAAACGGTGGAGCAGTGGGGAATACATGGGAATGAAGTAGGTAGGAAATTAATTAGTGAAGGAATTGGGCAGGAGGGTCCAGGCCTCCCAAAGAACCAGGGATATCTGTATATTATTCTGTTGTGAGGAAGAGTTCTACGCTAATTTCTGTAGTAACTTAACTCTGGTACTTATTTCATGCTGATATCAAAAGCAAAATTTTCACCATACTTAAGGAATATGACAATTGCATCCTTGGAATCCGTAGTCTTTACTTATTAGCCTTGAATTAGTGTGAAATGCTTTTATTCATGCCTGAGTGTTTCATTAAGAATTAGCTTAATTGGAGAAATAGTTGTTTTATTTGTTTTGTTAGCTGCTTAAGAAAGCTTTTGAAAAAAACATTTATTTCTCAAAAAAAAAAAAAAGAAAAGAAAGAAAGAAAAGAAACAAGCATGCACTCGGTGGAAAGCTTTACAATGTTCATTGGTTGTACTTATCTTTTACACACTAGCATGTGTTTAAATTAATTTATTGTGTTCGAAACAACTTATAATTCAAATCATAGCAAGAGAGGTTTTAGAATTTTTTTCCCCTTTAAAAGTTCATCTAATACAAAATGCACGTGATTGTTTTGAAGCTACTTAAGAGTATACTTTCTGATTTGATGCAAGCTTTTCCTCTGTCCCTACACAAAATAAAATGCATGAGTTTACCTGGTAGGGTTAATAATCAGTAATGTAATGTGGGATGATCTTATATACCACGATTTGGCAGAGAAGAGATGGCCTGCGATGAAGCAGAGCTTGGAGAAGAAGCATTTGCAGAAAAAATGCACACTCAACAAAAATTACATGAACAGGTAAAATTTAACTTCTGATGAAATCTATGATACTTATTTACACTGCTAATATTGAAAGAATAAAACATCACAGCAACTAGAGATGCTGAAGTACATGCGCAAGTTTCACTTGGATGATCAATCTGCCATCCTTGAGAAGGTAAACACTGGTTTCAAAATAAAGGGAGATTCATTTCAAATCTTGCTTCCAATATGAAAAAAATAACAGCGGCAGTCAATTGATTCATCAACTCTGAATTTTAATTGCATTCATTTACAACATTACGTTGGCATACATATATACTAATTTGGTAATTTGTTTTGGTGCATATCTTAAAATTACAAGAAGTCTTGGAAACTTCTAAGCAGTCTGCTAATGTTATTACTTTTGGCTTTATTAGTTCAGCTAATCAATCAGAATTACATACTTTTTTTCACATCAGAATGATTTATTTCCTTGGTTGTTAGTAGGTCAATTGTTAGTCTATGTTGCTACACACACACACTTTCCAACCTTGGCTTGCTTTGCATGTGGCTTCGAAGCTTGACAATTTCTATTCACGAGATTTTCGCTTTAAAAGTTACGTACGTAAGTAGTAGAAAATGATTTTATTAGATGCATTTTATGTACCTAAGTAGTTTTCTTCTGCCAGTTACACCAGCAGATGGAAAATGGCAATTATGAAAGCGATACGTCCATTTTATCAGCTGAACAAATCGAAGAGATTGTTCCAAGGAAGGTGTCCCCTCTGTATGCGCCAAGGTAGACCCAGAAGCTGGCGTTATTTTTGGACCCATTTGTTAAATTAAGTTGAGACATATTTGGGGTTCAAGTGTTGCTTTCACGACGTTTATTTTGAATTTGCTCATTTCCTCAATCCATGACACTTATTATGTACATTACATTTACCTCCGACACTTCAATACGTTATCAGATCTTTTCATTTTATTCCTATGTCGGAGCTGCTGTAATTCGGAAGAAATCTTGCGTGTTTGTAATGTCAATCCAAATACAAAATAAAGACATAATATATTTAACATGTTTTGTGTTGATATATACCGGCAGTATTGTGATAGAACACTAAATTGATAGGAATTGTAATATAACAAAAAATAAAGCAATTAATGTGTTGCTGTTCTATAGTTTTAGAAACTCTTACAGAGCATGATCTTTGTCCAAGGAGAAGAAAATATTATCATAACTGTCGTTCACGTAGAAATTACGCATTCTGAACAGGACTGCCAAGCCTTGTCCTCAAGGCAGAAATCAAAAACTTCTTGTTGCATAACAGATTGATCTTCCTATGTAATATACTTAGTTGAAAGACCTTGCCACTATACCAAATATTGCTTGATTTTTTTGCCTTTATTTGTCACCAACTGACTGTAAAATCCGTTGTGGCTGCACTTCATCCATTGATTGAATGATCAAATCAGGGGGCAATTCAGGTTATGCAAAATAAGAGCCAACACACCTTCGAAGTTGAGAAACATGAAAAATTGGATGAAATTTGGAAGTACCTAGAAGCTGCAAGTTGTAGGAAACCTTCTCCATATTTCTATACAATCAGAAAGGGACCATAAAAATTTTGTGCTGGCTTATGGTTGATCCAGTTAGCCACTGATTTTTGTTTATGCTGTCTAAGCTTCAAGAAAACCCAATTTCCCACATCAATTTGATGAATTTTTCTCTTTTTATCTGCACAACACTTCATATGGTGTTGTGCTCTAGTCAAATGGTATTTGAGTTGATGGAGTGTTTCATCCCTTTCGTGCAATTCACGGGCAACCATCTCCACTTTTGTTTTTCCTTCTACAAAGTGAGAAATATTGGGAGGTGGTTTGCCATAAACTTGAAAAAGTGTTGTAAAAAGTATTTGTACCACAATTCTGTCCAAGGAAGTCACAAGCACTCAGTCTTTGGTTTTCTTGAAGCAAAACAACGTAAGCTTCTCTAAACAATGGTTCATAACCTCGGTTTGTTTGGTAATAAAAAGAAGACGTTTTTAATTCAATGCATTGCAACTTAAACATTCCTTACAAAAGTTCCTTACAAATAAAGGATCACAGTTTGGGAAATTTCATACAACTTAATTACCTTGTTGACAAAAATAACAGCCAGCTGTGTATGAATGTTCTAAACTAATAGTGACTATAATTGTACAATGGATCAACAACCACCAAAACAATATCAAACCCCCTCAGATTTGGGAAGGCCAGTGATGAAGTGTATTGAAATGCCCTCCCATATTAGTGTCAGGGCAGTGGCTTTAACAAACTACTTAGAGTAGTGGCCATATATTTTCATGTTGACATATGTCATAAGTAAGGTATTAATAAGTCAAATTGAGCTAAGTATTTAATTTAACTAAATTCTACAGCAATCTAAAAAATAAGGAAGTATTTTATGCTCTTGTATACGTGGAACAATCATAACTACTAATTTTAGTAGTAGAGTTAGTGATGTATTTGAAAAAGACATAAATATTCTTTAATATCTTAGTATAATTTAGAGAGAATATTCAATGCCTCTTCAAGTTTAAGAGTACAGTAGAAAGCACCATTTAAAGTTTGAACTTAACTTGGTTAATAATTTTGAAACTTGAACTTGACTCATTAATTTATTTATAATTTATAAGTTTTAAATATTTTTTTAATAATATAGTATTTATTGAATATTTTTATGTTAAAAAGTAAAGTAAAGTATGATAGTAATAAAATATAATTTTATGAACATGAAAATAACTTAAGATTAAAAAATAATTTTTATTATAAAAATACTATTTAAGTATATATATATATATAAGCTACTCACGAGATATTAAAGTCAAGTTTATAAAACTTGAACTTGCTTATTTAATTAAATAAATAGATTTGGCCAGACATATAATGAGTCAAGCTCAAATAATTCACAAGTAGCTCAACTCATTTAAATTTATCGCACAAACTCTATGATAGATTTTTTCTTGCCTACACATCATAAATTTCGACTCAATCTTTTGTATGTTTTGAGATAACAAGTGTTTGAGTAAAAAAGTGGAACTCTTGTAATAATTTATGAAGCACATATTACGATAGACATGACACTTTTTATATATATTTTCAAAAAATATTAAGATAAGTACTTGGTCTTTTTATAACATTTAATAACTTTTTATAAAGATTTAATTATGTTTTTGATCCTTATAAATATTGAGCATCTGGTGATAAGTTTTTATAAATTTTTTTGTTATGATTTAATTCTTTGAATGTTAAGAAGTTAGGATTTAGTTCATGCCATCAACTCCCTTTTATTAAGTGTTGAGCAAGTTGACCGAGAGTAAACTCAGCACTTTCACGTGACATACCACATCATTTAAATTTTTAATTTGCAAACAAATCTTTGAGCACATTTTAAATTTTTGTAAAAAAGCCTCTCTAACTTTTTTCCCTTCTTCTTCCAGCACTCACACCTCTTCCCTAAACACATTTTATTACATTGTATTTAAACTTACATATTACACATAAAATTACTTGATAAATATATGTTTAATAAAAAAAAAAACAAAAGAAGTTGGTGGTTTATGAATCAATTTAGATCAAGGATTGAACCGTTAGTATCATAAAGTTATCCCTACAAAATAAGAAGAGAAATTATGGACAACCATGTATTACAGAAAAAAATTTAATCGATATAAAGTTCAATTGAACAATATTATTGTCAAGAAATCTACTAAAACTGAATTGATTGACTAATGTGTGAGGAAGATCATAACACGGAGGTACTGAACAATTTACTTCAAATAGATCACAAAACATTGGTTGATATTTCTAAAACATATTCACAAAAAAATAATCATATAGTTATAATAAGCAACTTAAAATAGATGTACTTATTGATATTAAAAATTATTATAAAAAGTATTTGTGATGCTGATTGAACTCAATTTAGAGTTCTATTTTTCTTTTTCTTTGCTTGTAACTTAACCTAACTTTTTAATCATTTATCTCCTCTCCTTTAGATGCTTGGGCGGTGCTTAAATCCTTTATGTTGTGTAGCATCATTATTGAACATAATTTTTGCATCATCCCAATTTTGCACATTACTTTATTCTTGCAAGTATAACTTTCTGATTTGGCCGATTAAAATGTTAATAATGTCATCTGAAGGAGGTACTTCGGAGGCCAACCTAATAATTTTACATACTAGGTGACGATATCGACGTGTGGTACTAAGTTTACGATCTTCTTTGATCTTTATTTCTTTTACATTGTGAATAATTTCACAACAGTTTTATGTTGTCCATCTCTAAGTATAGTACTTTTCAAGGAAATCCTTTACATTATTGGCTTGAAACACTTTTAAAGCATGACAACAAAGTATGTCAAATATTTCAAACTTTTTACTAGTGCAAGATATAGTTGATGAAATATCAATGTAACTGTCCTTGACCTTTGTTGGTTTACTTTAGTAATGACATTCAATTAGAGGAGAAATTTCAATCCTTTATGATTTGCAACAAGTTAAGAATTGAGCAAACTCTTGTTGAAATAAGTTAAATACTATATGTGTGTATACCTTGGTCATTTGTATTAGTATTGATGACATCTTATATTGTAACATGGTTAGCTTATGGCAACACTCACACTCACACTTTAACTCGTTGGAACGTTTGTCTTCAACAACTCATTCATAGTGTTCAAGGAATTGCTTTATGCCAACACCAAGTTTCATACAAGCTTTGAAATCATAATTTCAGCTTTCACTTAGTTGTGTAGTCTGCACTCTAAGGGTGAAAACATCCTTGAAGTAAAATGATGCCCCCTTCTCCTTTATGGAATAAAGTGAAATAATCTAAGTATTTTCTTGAACATTGTATCTGTAGTACTCCTTGTCCAACCCTCCTCAAATTTAATTGAAGTATTATAATCATAAATGCATCTTTTTAAATATCTTAAAATGAATTATCTTTTCATCAAATTGCCAAGGAGTTTTATTCCATTTTGCATTAAGTGCCATGTGCATAAAACATGATGTGACTCTTGGACAAGAGTCTTGGTCATTGCTTGATCTTGGTATGTAAAAGTCATTTGATATATATTTTTTTATTATGTGCTTCCAAGAATGTCTCAAACAACTATTGAAATGATTATGCCATTTCATAATGCAACAAGGTTGTCCCAAAAATAACAACACCTCTATAATAATCAAAACTAGAAAATAATGTTAGAAGCCTATTAGCCTGATTAGTACAATATGTAGTGTCTAGGGATACGACTTCACAAAAAATTCTATAATCAATCACCATCTTAGCATCCACCTAAAAATATCTTTGATTTGTTCATTGGCATCCATTTGGTACACATGAAAAAAAAATGTTGAGTTGTCTATCAATTGTTACTGAAAGTATTGCATTAGACAGCTAATTTTTTCATGTATCATTCCCCTTTGTCTTTTTGCCTTCAAATAATTTTTTGTATTATGGTGAGTATGCCTAACATTAGCATAGTGTCTTGCAAGAGAGCTCATGAGTTGAAATGATGACTTTTGTCATAATCTAGAGGACTTAGCCAAATCAATCTCATGAGCTTAGATTTCTATTATCTTATGATGAGAAACAAACACGTGTGTTGTCTCTAGAAGTTGTAATAAGTGATTATACTCTTCAACAAACTCATGTATAACATATTTGTTGTTGTTTGTTAAAGACAATGCTAGCCTTACAAGACATTCTATTCTAGTTTTTGGTAAGTGCTTGGTAGCTTGTGGATTTGTTTTATCATCTGTTTGATGCCCTTCTTTGCAACTAACATATCTACAACATGTTATAACACCATCTTCCTTTTGCTTATTTACATATTGCTTCCTCACTTCAAATCCTGCCATCTTTCCATATCCACACCAAAATTGTCATGCTTCATCAACACTTTCAAACGCTAACTCAAGTCTTGGCTTCCATGTGACATTTGTACTCGTCATTTGTTCTTTACTCCAACTGCATAACAAAATGA